ATTACCAGTTTTCAGGAATCAGAAGCTAAACTTACAATTGACAGGCACTACCCATCATCTTCTACTGACGAGCTGCACTGTTCTAAAAATAAAGTAAAAACAATGTAGTCTTTTCTTTTTCATGTGTATCTAAATCTTTGCATACCCTCAGAAGAAATTAACTTGTATGATAACTGGATTATAACTTTGGCCTTAGCTACGAGGATTATTATTAAACTTAATACAAAACAGTTGAAGTCAGCAGTCACTGATTCAGATTCTATATCATCTCTTACTTTATTAAGTATAAATCAGTCATCATATTTCAGTTATTTTTTACTATACAAAAATGACACTGTCGATACTATCTTCAAACTGTCTTTGCTAACTCGGGTTAAATCTATCAATAAAAAACAAATTATTTGTGCAAGATGACACTTTGTAAAAACAATGTTTTTGATGTTTAACCAGCTTTTCCTTTTTTTTGATGGAAGTAATATTTCCCTTACTTGGTAATTTTACTTTCAGAATTTTTCTGGGGGGGTGGGTGTATTTAGTGATTAAAACAGAATAGGTAATTCACATGCTAGAGACACATTATGTCTATACAAGGTCTGGTAATACTTCAATTTTTTTAAGTATGGTTAAAATGGTAGATTTTTAAGTATACCTAGTTTCTTCATAAGTGATACCATCTATAGTTAAAACCCTCAGATTTGGAAAAATCCTATGGAGGAAATTCTTCCTGCCCTATGGAGAGAAAACCCCTATACTTTGGAGAAATCTTTTGATACACAATATGTAAACCATGTATCATCCCTTTGATGTGCAATATCTACTTAGTATAAAATGTTAAGCCACGGATTTTTGTGTAAATTGTTTCCTTATTTTTTGACAGTACACATAACTACATTTTAGTAAAATAGTGTCAGGAAAATTACTATTACTAGTCTGAAGTCATCTGTGCCTTCATCCAATTTTATTATTATTTGCTTCAGTACAAATATTTTCCAACTACATTTTTGGTTAAGATCAGTTTGTTTTCAATAAATAAGGAGTTCTCATATTCTTAGATTAGCAACAAATTCACTAGTATATACAATGAAAAAGTTTGGAGTCATCTGAATTCTTAGCCATCACAAACACATTAGCCTTAACTATCCTTACCAGATGTCTTAAAAGAATATTCCTGTAGCTTTCAAACAAATAAGTTAACACAAAAAATTATAAATGAAAAGAAAATAATATGAAAAAAACACAGATCTGTAGTTTATTCCTAAGTGTTGTAAACTTCATAGTAAGGTCCTTTATTAACTCCTAATAAATAGTATGTCAAGAAACCAGATTACTGCTACATCCACCATATTTACTCTGCACTGATATAAATAACACCATTTTAACTACTTACAAAAGTGAACCTCATTATTTCATACTCCAACATCATAAAACACTGACCACTCGAGGCAATTTAATAAAAATCACTGAAGAGAATTAAAATCACATTGAAAAGAAATACACAATTATATTTCAAGGGATGACAGTTTCCAAGCAAGTATAAATCTGCATTTTCAAATGAGCATGAAAATTCTAAAAAATAAAATAAAAGCTTTGTCTATAAACAAAGACTCCTTTGAGCTACAAAGAAATGAAACATTTTTTCTTTACAAAATACTCTAAAAAGTTATTTACTTCTAAAATATCAATTACAAACTATTTGAGTAAAATATTGTTGAGATACAGTTAGAATTATATTTTTTACCTAGATTTCAAAATTTAATGTGTAGGTATGCACTCAGACCCTGAAGTGTGTACAATTTAGGTAATGGTTAATCCTCTCCAGATGGGTCACAGGTCAAAGGCCATGTCATCACATTTGTTGACTCACATTCAAAAATTGAACTACCATTTCATAAATTTATGTCAAAAAGTTTGGTATCAAGCTGAAGATTATAATTCAAGTTTTAGTATTATACGTTATTCAATTTCTTAACTTAAAAGTAAATATTAGAAAAACACAGTCAAACATCGATTTTTGTGTGTCACGTGGTATGTTGAATGCAGCACTGGTTCAAATTAGATGTTTGTGATGTCAATATTCTAAGTCTATAGTTTCATACAAATTAGGAACTCAAATTATCAATATTGACAAGCTAGAATATAAAATAAGAACCTCTTACCTTTTCCATTTGATAAGATATAACTCGTGTAATGAATCAAATATAATGGGCCCCTTCTTTTTCCATTTTTGGAAAGATTTCCTTGTAAACACTTGTTTCTATATATGACATGAATAACCAATCAAAAGATCAGAATGTCCCCTAGTGGATGTCTCAGCCATTTTCAAATACAACGGCATCCACTTTTTCTTTCAAGATGAACCTTCGTGGTGGTAAGTTGGGACTTTAACTTGTTCTAAATATTTTTGTAGTCCCAAATACAGTTTAGTTACAAAAATTGATAAATTATAGTGGAATTCTACGGTATCAATATAGTAATTTATGATTTTTTGGTTATTCCAATGTACATATAAAACCTAAAAAAAATAATTTCATTTCACATCCTTCACGTGTGAAATATCTCAAGGCTTAGCAAGCTACGACAAGCGGCAACTGCGTACAAAGGTCGTAACTAGAAAATATAATCGTCTGCTTTACTTCTTTATTTACTGTTCTATGTTTTAAGAAAAATAAGTTTAAGAACTTGTTTGTAAATAGTAATAACCTATATACATGTATAATGCACAATTAAAGTGTGACTATTTTACAAAATACCAGTCCACTAAAACACAGCATCATTGTAGCTTCTGTACTGTTAGCCAGGCATGGCTGAAAGGTCAATATAATAAAAATAATAAAATAAATATACACACACACACACACACGTATATATATAATGTTATGAGATTTAGCTATTTAGTCTAAACATTTATGTTTGTGTTATAATATGTAGTCATCCTAGAATGAAAAAGGCATAATTTATATTTATTCCCTAATTATTTTTTTTTTTATGGTGGTTACAAGATCTGTCAAATTGACTGAACCTGTACAGAGATTCATTAGTGAAAATAACAGATAAAATAGTTTTTTTCTTAAGAAACATTTACAACTATCTGGACATTATAAGGTTTCGCATTTGAAATTTGAAAATTTTCTGATGCATAAAAGTACTTTTAATCTTAAAATGAAAAATTACTTTGCATGTTGGATAGGCAACATGTGAAAACAAAAAGGCAAGAGAAAACCCATTACTTGATAACCCATTACCTTAAGACTTGATAAAAAAAACAACAAAAGAACTGATACTTTGTGTATGAAAGCCTTGTAATGTTTACTGATAATCTGCCAAATTTCGTGAACATATGCTTACTAATATAAAAGTTAATGCATGACAAGTATAACGAGCACAAAATGGTTACGTGGTCAATCCCAGGGACCTAGCCCATGGTAAAGAGAGTTAAAAGTTATATGAGGAAATATTTCCCCTGCCAGGGGCATGCACCTAGATTCTGAAATAGCACAAGAACATGTCATACACCACTAAGTTACTACAACTATCACCTGCAATGATCAGACAGTTATTTTCAAACCCATTATTTTTCTGTAACACCAAAAAAATAACAGGGCCACAGTAGTTTTGCCCAGAAATACATTAAATGCCAAATGACATGTTATTCAATTACTCCAACTCTCCCCTACAATAGTCAAGAGAACATTATTTGCAAATATATTAGCATTTCTGTAATGTGAAAATAAATTTTCTGGACCACCAATCATTTGTTTAGATGGGGCACATATATAGCACAGTGCTACATGGCAGCTTTACTAGTCCCACCTGTACAGTTCAGTGTGCTACATGGCAGCTTTAATAGTTCCAGTGATTTCAGCCTAAACATTTTACTGTGCTTTAACAGCTTTACTGGTCCCAGGGATTTCATCCTGTACAGCTTAGTGTGCTATTGTTCTCAAGTAAAAAAAGGAAATCCACTGATGTTTCATTTTAATGTGAAGCCTGCAGCAGTTAAAATAGCATTTTGTATACTTATACTTGATGAAGTAAGAATAAAAATTATTCACTTAAAGTAAAAAATGTTAAACAAATTAGTATGTTAACCTTTTAATCCCCACTCTGAGTTACTATGATCATTCAGGTAGCAGAGAATCTAATAAATTCCAATTTTCCAAAATATCAAACATTTTAAGTTTAAAAGAAAAACTACTATGCATTTTAGCTCATCATGCAGTGTGGCAAGTAAAATCTTTCACATGGAATGTGTGAAGGATGACGGAGAAAGACAACACTCACCAAGCTGTTAAATTTGAAAGTAATTCTTGAGTATAATTTTATCTTTTTATCCTACAGGCATGTGTTTGAGGATTTCAAGTGCTTAAAGAACAGGGTGGTATTTTCAATAGTCTTATATTGTATAACAAGTAAATCTAAGCACTCCACTCAGAACTTATTTATTATTATTATTATTATTGAAGAAGAGAATAACAATACGTTAACTTAAGTTGATTAGCAGTGCTCTCTCAGATTTCATTCAGGACTCAGGACTCTCTCTCAGTCATACACAGAAAATGACGGTTTGTAATAGACCAGTGTTATTGACATTTATTTCGCTTTTTTAAATTTGAAATCAAAGTTATGTGAATAAAAAAAAATTACTGTAGATGTCGTCTACTCCCTCACACCAAAGTTTAGGGCGCTTAGTACTAGTACTGTAATAGTATTATCAATATCAGCGTGTTTTATTGGTTTACGAACTTTTGAGCACTACATACTATTATGTACCGTAATTTATGTTGCGGACAACTAGTCATCTGCCTTAAAAGTGATACTTTTCTGTGATGCAGTCAGAATTTTTTTATTAAATATCCAACCCTGAGAGTGAAAGGCTAGTTGTTATAACTTAACTTAGTTAAGTTAAACATAAACTTTTTAAAGGTCTAGTCGCTGAACCAATCGTTAACTTAAGAAATGGTGGCGGCGGTGACTGGTAATGGTAAGGAAGACCAACTTACCTTTATAATGTTTATCAGGTGAAATTTGTTTAGATGCATGTTGAACTTGAAGAAGTAATTTTACACGCTCAATAGGTGCTACAGCTGTCTTGGAAATTGCAGCAGCAATTCCACCGGCCAAAAAATCCTTGGCAAATGAGACAGGGTCGAAAGCCGACATGATAGCAACTATTACAACCTCACTCTACTACAGCACACGGCAGAAAGAAAGCTGACGTGTTTCACCAACAATTTTATTGGTCGGAGGACTAGCAAATAATCTGAAAAGTTAACGAACAAACATATTTGAAACAAACATGAGATACTGTATTTTTAGACGTAAAACTATATTGTTGTGGATATATTTTGGTCAACATTATCATACATTTTATCATTATAATAAAATATTTAATGTTTTGATTATTGACCAATCACTTTTAAATATTACGAAGTCAGCTTTTGTATATTACATTAATACAACTAAAAACAATTAAACATCAATGCGTATGGATGACTAAAATAAAAAGTCTAATTGTCTTTAAATATTTTGTTTGTAATGTAAATTATACGAACAAAAAAGAAATTAGCATTTCGTAATTAAAATCTCAATGCTTAACTTTTCCACTAGTTAACTTACAACACACATAGCAACATTATTCTGGGCTATATTCTTATCATTCGATGTTTTTGTTCACTAGAAAGTTTTTAATATTTACATAATGTAATAAGTGTGGAAGTTTCATGAAAGTCTAGGCCTTTGGGGAATCCGAAACTTCCTTTCGTACGTAGGAAACTAGTATATACAATTTCAATAGTAGATATTTACACAATATCGTGTAAAGCAATCTAAAATACAGTTTAGACCTAATATCACGTAATATTTTTTATGGATACAAGCTCCTACGCTTTCACGTGTCCTCTTCAGTCCAACGTGTATTCTTGAAAGAAACACATACACTGTTTATTTTATAACGGAAGTTCCAAGTCCCTTAGTGGCATATGACGTCAGAAGGGGTATAGGGGTCCATGTGTTCAGCAGTGACCTTTAAAGGTGTTGAAGTTTGGCTACATGTGAATTAACTAATTTTCTTCATTTCTTCCTTTAACATAATTTCTACTTTTGTGTAATAGTTCTGACTGATTTCCAGATGAAGATTCCTTTATATATAGAAAAATAGGATTAATTGTTTGACCATTTTTAACATCAATTTTGTGTTCTGCGAACCTTATATCTAAAGTTTTACCAGTGTCACTAACATAAATTTTTTCACAGTGCTGGTAGGAGATTAGATAGATGCCCTGCTCTTCATATTGAGGTACAAACTTGTTTAAGGGTAACACATTTATAATGATGTTGTAATATTAATAAAAGCTTTGAAATTGTTATTTTTGAGACATTTCTCTAAAGCGACAATATTAGAACTGTAGTTGAAGCTTATTTTCATATCTAGATGATGCTGATTACATTCCTAAGAAGAAAAAAAATGTCTGCCTTACCTTTTTTTTTTGATAAAGTCTATATGATATTGTAATCGTTCAAAAATTATAAAAATATTTTTCCTCAGCAAGCGTCATGTGATGACATCTTCTATAAGTTCTTAAAAAACATCGAAGTTATAATTGATGTTTTAACCGTTTTATAGTGGCTCAAAATCAAATTAACATGGCTTAAATAGTTTGTTTTATGTAGATAGAAAGAACAGGTTGTATTTCTGCTGTAGTTAAATTATGACAATGTCTATAAAAGAGAGGTAGTTATTGGTTTTCCATTACACTTTAAACTTAATAGCACTGTAAAGCTTGATAGTCTTCTGGAAAAAGACTTGAAAATCATTTCTATTGTTTGACCAGACAGAAAAAAATGTCATCAACATATTGTTTTGTTGTTTATTTGTAGGTATGCACAAAGCTACATAATGGGCTATTTCTGCTATGCCCACCACAGGTATCGAAACCCGGTTTTTAGCGTTATAAGCTTTCAGACTTACCGCCGAGCCATTGAGGAGCTCAACATATCGGAACCATGGGATTTCCTTTCTATTCAGGTCCACTTTAAGAAGTAACTTAGTGTTACGACAGCGGAGGTCACGTGATGCTGGTAACACGTCACGCGCTTCTAGAACGTTCATGTCCCTTCTTGAAGCCTCGAGAGGTTACTAGATGTACGGTATTCTTGCATATAAGACCGCCAAGAACTGACGGCAACAATGTAATTGAACTGCAGACAGAGAGAGACTGACAATTGAGTCGAGCACGTGAGTCGTTCGTGGTGAATTATAGCGTTTGTTTAAGCTATTGTTTAACCGTGGAAATTAAGTAAATTTCAAAGTTGTATTCAGAAAGAATAAACCAGTTTTATTTAAGAAAGGACTTGTATCGCTAAAATTTCTTCGGAAATAATTTTTACGGAAAATTAACTAACGACCAGAGACGTAACATTACTTTAAAAATACTACATGAAGATGTTACATAGAACTTGGGATAAATGATTGCACATAGCTATTCAATATTTAAGTCCGTAATATTTTCCAATGCATGTGAATACTTTATCTTCAATACACACTTCCACTAGGGAGATAAAAGTATGGACTGACACAGAAAGCAAAATGCCACGTTCAGGTAATTTGCCTTTTAGGAAGTCTGTCGTTTCGTCGACTGGCATGTTTGTAAACAAAGAATCAATGAACAAACTGACCATCTTTCCTTAATTTATATTAGAATTTTTATTTTATTGGCAAAATCAATATTATTCAGAATAGACAATGAGAACTTCCCTAGAACAGGAAAAATAGGTGTAATGCTAGCCACTTGGATAGCAGATAAGTATTTAATTCTACATTGGAAATTATAGGTCTAAAAGGTCATCCATCTTTATGCATTTTAAGCAACACGATCATATGCGGCAAAGAATAATTAATGCGTTTAAAGATTTTTTACGGGATCCGGATAACCAGCAAAATTCTTTGGAGAAACTTCTTAAAATCAGAAAGTTTCTTGCATTTTCATCCTGCTGTAAATCCTTCAGTTTTGTTTCGTAGGTAGAGTTATCCAGAATGATAATTTAGTTTTTTTTTTTTTGCCAGATTTTGTTACTATAGTGTCGCTATTCTATTCTGATTTTCTTAAGCTTTTATGAAACAATGGGGAATCGCTAAGTTTTCATTTCCATTGTAGAATAGTGTGGTGGTTAAACAACCAGTTAGAAAGTTCAGATCGTTAATATTGCCTTTAGCAAATCTAACAACACCCGATATTAAGTCACAGTCAGTGTTTTTAAAAGGAAATGAGGGCATATACTAATGTTATTTATTCTATATCTGCAAAACTGTAAGATGACAAACTTACGATATTATTATCTAGTTGGGGTGCTTTATACCATATAATTAATTTAAACAGTTTATTAAATATATTTTGTAGTTTTACCTCTCCGCATTTTATTTTTCTTGCAACATAAGTCTTTGCTGTATCGAATAACTGTTTCCTTTGGGTTGGTCCCCTGGTAGGTCAGCGGACTTAAAACGCTAAAATCAGTGGTTCTATACCCTCGATGGACACACCAGATAGTCCGATGTGGCTTTGCTATAACAAAAACACGCACATACCTTTGGGCTGTAAAAGTATGTACTTCAAGTTTTAATGCATTTCTAAGTGCAAATTGATTAAGCAACAGCCTTTACTGCAGCAAATAGTTTGCAGTAATTTTTTGTGCTATCATTTGGGTTATATAACATTTCAACAACTAATTTAGTGTGCCTTCTCTGAAGTACCCTGTATTGTCGTACTCATCAACTTGGATGACATAATAACACGAAAATCTTTGGTGATGCTTATGATTGGCTAAGGAAAGTTTTGAATTGATTGAGGAAACGGAAACTTAATCTGAATTCCAAACAGTGTGAATTGTTCTATAAATAAGTGAGTTTCTTGTGACAAATAGTTAGTAAAGAGGGATTGTCTACAGGTCCTTTTAAGGTTAAATGTGTTTGAATTGGCTAACACCAAAGAACCTGCGTGAAGTAAGAGGATTTCTTGAACTGAGCTCTTACTACCGTTATTTTGTAAAAGTGTTCTTTGACATAGTTCATACTCTACACCAATAACTTGAAAAAATCAAATACGTTTTGTTGGACTGCCGACTGTGAAGAAAAATTCAACAAACTGAATAAAGAATTAACCATTACTTATTTATTGGGACACCCATCTCTTGGAGATCTAATCATATTAGACACCGAAGCCAGTAATTTTACAGTAGCAGTTAGTTTTTCACAAGTAACAACATGGAGAAGAATATATGATTATCTGCTGCAGCAAGGCAATGAATGTTAAAGAAAGAATGTATTGTAAAACTAAGAGAAACTACCAAGTTTTGTTTCAGCACTAAGTCATTTCTATCATTATCTATTTGGAAGAAGTTTACATTCCAGACAGATCATGAAAAATTGAAGTAGCTGATGAATTCTTACAATCCAGAAGGTACAATAGCAAGAAGAATTCAGAAATATCACGAGTATAACTGTAACATCATACATTACCCTGGATGGAACCATGGTAATGCTAATGCATTATCCCAAAGACCATGTATTAGAGAGTAATTCTAATAATTTATTAGTAAAAACCAATAATATTATTTTATAATAATATGCCAACCACATATTATCTGCTATATCCAGTTGTGGTCGAGGAACAATATATCATCAATTTCATGAACAATGATTGAAAACCCAGTTTCCCTGAGGAAGACATTCGAACGCGCTTGGGTTATAGGGTTTTTATTCATTTCTATCAAGACTTCTTGAGCCTACGTGTTTTTCTAACATCATGAATGAACAATCAATGTTATTGCGTGAACTGTATTAAGTAAATGAATTGTAATTATTATCAATTTCATTTAAGTAATTTACAAATCAGAATTAGGGCAAAGACTAATAACATGATATTATTCAGTTATGTAATTTTAATCCCGATTATTTATTATTATTATTTTTTATGTGAATTATCTTTACTATAATTAAAAAATGTGGCAAACCAGTAAGTTAGTCTTCTTGTTCCTGGAGTGGGTCAAACAACCACAGTGTTAATGGAAGAAAACTCTATTAGTAATTCTAAGAACTTATGAGGCATAGTAACGATTGAGCTGTTATTTATATGTAAACATGTGAAAAGAGGGAAAAATGAGATAGTAAAGACAACCAAATCAAAATACAACAGAGTATAGTCCAAGATGGAGCATCCAAAGTGATGATGAAGAATGCAGTCCAATGCTATACTG